GAGGAAGGGCCGGCGACCACCCTGGACCTGGGTCATTGCAGACGCGCCGTCGCTTCCCGCCGCCCGGGGTCTTCCAGGATCCGCTCCGCTCGACTAGAGGGCAGATCAGGCCAGAGCGCCGGAGAGCGGCTCCGTGCCTTCCCCATTTCTGTCATTTTTAAATGAAAATATGGCCATCCCAGCGTTGAAGGCTCCAGGGCAGAAACACTAGGAGTTCTGAGCTTAGTTTAGTATGCACTGTCTCCTACTAAAGTTAACTGCTTTGAAAATCTTTTCTCTTTTGGAGAAACAGCCTCACTGGGGCGGAGGAGCTAAAGAAATTCAGTTACAAAGCGATTGGAAGATGTAAAGCATCTTTAATTTAAAAAGGAACTAATGTAGAAATACTTCACCAAAAACTAATAGGGAAAAACTGGAAATACAGTAGTGGCTTGTGATTTGTTCCTGTAACCACAATACTTAGTGCTTCCTGCACGAAATGCACTTTGTTGAATATACTGTATTCTTTACTAATTCAAACAGCGTTGGGTAGGGAGGAGATTAAAATAGCTAAAAACATTTATTTATACATGTGTTACTAAAGTAGTTGCTATGGAAAATCGGGAGCATAATCATTTATCTGCTTCCATGACAGACACATAGATCACTGCAGGTCCCTCTCCCCCTACTACTGCTGCTGGGGGGAGGAGACTCCAAGCACCAGAAAATGAATGGTCCCCACTGTTCCCTCTAAGGTCCTTTTTCTCACTTAAGTCTATTATTGTTTATAGGATGTGATCTAGTGCTTACCCTCTGGGTTTACAAGATAAGAGGAACCAAGTATGTTGATGGTCCCAAAGGGCGCCTCACATAGTGTTGAGACCCTTCTTTATGAAATGCCACTTTCAGGTAGGTAGATTTAAGTGTCACTTTAGGAACAAAACTCAAAGTGTGGTATTTCTGATGGGGAATGAGTGAAGCTCACTCACTGGCCACCTTCGGTGGTGCTGGGGGGATTGTCCTGTTTCTGGAAACCTGTCTTTTAAAAGCACACATTCCTGAACACTGCAGCACAGCAGCTTCCAGCGGCAGTAAACTCCTCTCTCAGCTCACAGCGCAGAATGTATCTTGTCCACCCGGCGCTTATGTCCAGATTTTAGCTGCACGTGTTCTGAAATAGTACTTCACCTCCATATGTGTACTGTCCTTTTTTGATTCTTACTTATGGAATCCATTTTTCTCTCTCTCAGTGATTTCAGGACTCTAAATTGAAGTATTTTATTATTTTTAAAAAATCAGTGTACTACTTTGACAGAGGAACCCAGTTTAAGTGAGTGTCCAGAGTGGTGATTACATTTGTTAACTTTCAACATTAAGACATAAGCATTAAGAACACAGGACCTTTCTTTCTTTTCCCTGTAATGCACATCTCTGCCTAGGAAAAGACCATACAGCCATGAAGCACTCAGCAGTTCCTAAGTGAGCTATTTGGAATTTGTAGAGAACTTAGACAACCCAATAATTTTACAATTTATTTCATTCAAGGAAACAGTCAGGTGTATATACCCTGGACCAGACCTTATCCTAGATATTGAACATTTAAAGACATATAGGAAGACTCCTTTCTTTTAGGAAACACATAATCTAGTGGACAGGGTATATTGGTCGACACATGCACCACTACATCTATTGACACTCTAAGTGTTATATAAAGTCCTAGGCACAGGATGGCAAAGTTTTCATGCAACTGTTGATTGGGTTATATATCAGTAAGAATAAAATTTGCACTGCATTTAATATGTTTTTTTTCTCTTCCTATAAAAATGCTGGATAGATTGCTTACAGAAACAATTGGCCAGCTTAGTCAACCAAAGTTTTTGTTTCATTTGCCTTGAAATTCAACATTTTTTAGGCTATCCTGAGCAAACAGGCATGATATATATAGCCACACCTTAGCACTAGCTATTGAAGGCCTCCAGGTGGTGAGCCTGAGCTAAAGCTTAAGGAGAGGCAGAGGGATGGTTTAGTAGAGAGAAGGGGAGGAGCTCTAGAAAGCAGGTCCAAATGTTTTAAAATCAGACCCAGGACAGCCTGTGTGGCCCAGTTAGAAGCATTTCCCACAGGAGCAGTGTGAATAACTTCAAGGATCACCAGCTTCTTGGATTTTGCATAGTGAACGTGGATAGTGCATAGAACCCAAAGGAACCCCTCATTCCATTATTGCCAGGCCCCACACAAGAGTATTCTTCTGTCTCTGATGGGGACAGCAATGGACACTTTACAGGATCTTGAAAAGTTAGGGGATCTCCTCTGACAGCCCTAATTACCTTAATGAAACCTTAGTTTCATTTTAAATTTCTGTCTCCATCCTTCAGTATGAGCATGGTGTTCCAACCTAGTAGCGTGAAAGAGACAATGTCATGGAGTGAGTCACAGCTTGGCACAACATTCGTCCGCAGTGGTAAGACAGAAATGAGAAAAACTAGTAACTCTGAAGTTACAACTGAGTAGTCAATTTCAAAATAAAGGTGACAGATGCATCCTTTCTTTCCAATTTAGCCTCTTCCCACAAAGCAAATACCAGATCTTATATATTATTTATGGCTACTACCTGTTCCCCCTGCTGGCCCTTTAAATCACGCTGACTCCCATACACAGTACTCCCCTTCCAGTTTATAAAACCAAACAAGAATGTAAAAATCATCAGTGGTATACAGGAAATCTCTCAGGAATTGTACACCCTGACCGGTTGCCACAATACTTCCTTTGCTTGCTCTATTCTTGATCCTAGATTCCTGGCTCACATCACAGCTTACTGGGACTATAACTCACCCTAAATCATTCCTTAGTTGGCTGCATGTCTGAACCCCTGGCTACCTCTTTTATCCTGAAGGTAAATTTACTTCTGATATTTCCAAAATCTGTTAAGGCAAGCTCCATTATCCTATGGCCCAGACATGCACCTGAAGCTCCAAACCATTACTCCCTTAACCTCTGTCTGATGGACTAGATCTCTTTAAAACTTACCCAGATTACAATAAAATTTGATTAAACTCTAAAATGGAACCATTTATGTTAGGTACACAATCTCCTGTGCTGGTAAATTTTCTCTAGCCAAATGCCTGTCCACCTAGTTTTATTTCCTCCTACTTAGTAAGATTTTCCAGCATGCAAGTCTAGAAAGCTAAGCAGCATCACATAGAATTGGATGTTTCAGAGGCTAGAGAGACATGATTTCCCATCAGAGAAACAGAGCATAGCATTAAAGAATTCCAGGTGCTGATTGTTTCCAGGATGCTGGGATAAGGGGTGGCAATTGTTAGGAAGCAGCAGAACCCAGACACTCGCTTTAAGTATGAGACAAGGGTTTTGTTTTAGGAAACAAGGTTATCCCTCAACAGGGCTTTAGGGAGAACAAACAGAGCAATGGGAAAGGCAACTGCAAATATTAGAAATAAGGAAGCACATCCAATCCCCACTGCATGGACTGAGGGACATCAAGAAGACACATATGAATTGAGGAAGTAACAAAATACCCGAAGAATAATCCCTGGAGGTAGCAAATCCAGGGTCCAAATAAATACGGAGGGTCTCAGGAGAGGCTGCAGATATGGATACATTTTGAGAGGAAGCCAAGGTAATTTGTTACCAGATGATGGGGCTAAGGTCTCAGATATACTGTGGCTGCCAGCGAGGAGTATCTAACAAATGGAGAAAAGTAGAGACAGAGGCAGAAAACTGAGGCAAAGGCCTTGTTATTCTTCATACTCTATCTTCAGCTTAAAAGTAGCAAATTTCTGAGTTTTTCCTCAGTTGGTAAAGAGCATTTCCTCTCATAGGTTCTCCTTTCAAGACAGGCATGCTAGCCTGTAGTTCTAGACTTCGAGGACTTCAGGAACCACTCGTGTTTTCTATACAACTTGTATGTAGTACTCATAAAAAATTCTAAAAGCCTACTCTCCTATACCATAACCTTCGTAATTTTAGTTGCCCTGCCCTGGATTTATTCTGTTTCTGGCATGTCTCCCTTGAACTCTTCTTATAATTCTGACACTATTACAGGAACAAGTCCAACGCTGATTTGTTCCAGAATAGGAGCTGTTCAGTGCAGGACAGTGTGACGCAGTAGGAACAGGTCTGAGCTTTGACAGCAGACTGCCTTGGGCTTGAATTGCTGACGTCAGTGTGTGACCTTGACATTTCCCTTATCCAATAAAATGAAAAGAGCAAGAGGTTACTGACAGTTTTATATAAAGTAATACATATAAGATACATAGCTCAGCACCTGGCACAGAGTGCTCAAATAATATATTATCTTTATTCAGTGTTTTTCTTGTTTGTTGGAGAGCATTCATTTATGGGGCTAATAGCTTAAATGATTTTCATTTTGAGGTTAGCTGACAGCTCAGAACCTTCAGTTTTATAAGTATGATGAAGCATTTTTCTCTGTACGCTTTACTGCACTTGCTTCCATTCAAAGTTCATCTGTCCCATTTCTGTCCATTCACATTGAATTCTGACGTCTTCAGTTTATCTGCAATGGTTTAGCATTTCGGTGCTCAGAAGTACTTAATGCCTTCTCAAAATATGAAAATTTAAAAGTACAGTTCTGCCTCAAGATTATTTTTGAAAGTGCTACATCCCAGGATGTATCCTTGGAGAAGGCCATAGCTTAGTTATTGGCACACAGAAGTTTCTGCTGCTCACTACGCTGATTTACCGTCTTTTAAAAACACATGAGTATGAAGGGGTGCTTACATTTCTAGGTCACTGATAGCCAGATTAAAGATCAACCTCAAAGTCGGATTAGAAATATTGTGTTGGAAATATAAAGAAACCCTCTGTTTCTGACAAAGAAGTGATTTGACTAAGCCACAGATAACATATAAAGGACTAGAAGAAAGTTGAACAAAAATCTTCCTCAAGGTTCTACATTTGGAGAAATTAACAGATGTGCATGGAATAGAAAATAAAAGAACGGAAATTTTGGCCGTAATCAAGTGGTGGGTTCAAAATTAGTCATTAAAATACTAATTATAATATAATTAATATAATAATATAATAATATAAGCAAAATATTCAATATAATATAAATGGAACTTTTAACATTCTCTATAATTAAACTCAACCTGTTAACAAGCTACTCAGCTAGTGTTTGGGAAAACTCAAGGAAGCAGTCTCTTTTTGGTTTAAACTTAGTCCCTATGCAGTTACCCAGTTTTTCAGGGCTTCCCTCACATGCTCTTCTTTGCGCCCTCACCCCGTTTGTGGTTGGCTCAGGTTTTGTCCTGATGATAGGGAGAGAGGTGTCCTCTTCCATCCAGCTTCGCTGTCCTCCCCTTGGCTTTTTGGTGTCCGCCACATACCCTGCTGCGCCCACTACGCGCATCTTCACCCATTGGCTGTAAGTCATAAGGATTCAGATCCCACCTCATTTGAACCTCAGGCCTCTCCCAGACTTTTAGCCATTGAAATACTTTTCCATTCTCCTCTGGGGCCACCAGGGAAGTCTGAATCTCCTCACATGACTCACAGTGGAAAACCAAATGGCACTATTTTTCATTCTATTTTTATCTGAATATACCATGTGTTGATATTTCTACTCTTTTGTAGAATCCCTAATCTGCACTCAGTGAGCATTTTCATCCAAGAGTTAAGGCAAGATTCAAAAAACAACCTTTCTATACCATGGAATTCTTAAAGTTTAGCAAGGTTACTATTCCCCATGCAGCCCAGATAGGACAGGGGAGTCCCCTTCAGAACATGCATCTTCCGTCTCTTTCCTTCTCTGCTCTCTCTGTAGGTTTTACCTCCCTCCCCTACCACAGGCCTCCTACCAGGCCAGAAGATGTTCACCTTCCTTCTAAAGAAAAAATGAACCTCATTTCAATTTTGCAGTCTCCCTCTCTCTGGTTTATAGAAAGACTGTTGTGCTTTGAATCCTCCAAGCTAAAACTTGATCATTTAAAGCCTGGTTCTGGGAATTCCCCCCCAAAACCTTTATTCTCTCAAATACCTGACACTCCTTTTTTTCCTAAAGAGATGTTCCACTTCCATAAGTATAGAAACCCAGAGCAGCAAGAATTACAGGGAATCAGGAACACTGAATATAGGATCATATTTCAAATATTAGTCAGGGAGCAAGATCAGGTTCTACCTTTGGGGGATGGCCCAGTACAGCAAAACATTTTATGGAAGTTGAAAGCTCCGGAGCAGATCCAACGGAATGCCTGCTTTGGTGGGGATGGGGAGATTGTGTAGGGGGATATTCCAGAGGGAATAAATGAGAAGCACCTTTAAAGAGGGAGAAAAAAATCTTGTAGGCAGGAAATTATGAAGAGGGAAGTATCTCAGTGTGCCATCAAACTGGCAGAGAAAGTAAGAGCAGCCACAAAAACATATTGTAGCTGAGTCGTCTGATGTGGGTTAACAAGCAGAATTATTACAAGATAGGTGAGGGAAGAGGAGAGAAGATCAGGGAGCTGTACTGAGTTGGGTAGCATCCCCCCAACCACTTCCCAATTCAAGTCCTCAGAGTCTCAGAACTTGACCTTATTTGGAAATAGCAGATGTTATTAGTTAAGAAGAGGTCATGTTGGAGTAAGGTGGGCCCTTAATTCAATGTGACTGATGTCCTTAGAAAAAAAGGGGAAGGTGAAAAAACAGATGAAACAAGAGAAAGCACCATGTGGCAACAGAGACAGAGACCAGAGAGATGCCTTTATAAGTTAGGGAACACCAGGTATTGCTGTCAGTACCAAGGGCCAAGAGAAAGGCGAGGAGCCGGTTCTCTCCCAATGCCTTCAGAGAGAGCATGGCCCTGCTCACAACTTCACTTTGAATTTCTAGCTTCCATAAGTGTAAGAGAATATATTTCTCTTGTTAAAAGCCACCCAGCTTGTGGTACTTTGTTACAGAAGCCCTTGGAAACAAATGGAGGAGCTTACGCTTGCCCCTTGGGTAAAAGGCTACACAAAGACCATTTGGCTGAGACCTCTGAAACCCCTATCCAAGATCCTGGCCTTTAGGAAGTTTTTTTCTAAATCATTATGGAGTCACACTTCCCTGTCTTAGACAAATCAAAAAACCTCAGTACTGCATGACTTTCCACATCTGTGAATTATACTCCTTACTCAGGACAATATTGTGAAAGTTAAATGGAATATTGTTTGTTAAAACATAGGTGACTGTGCCCTTTCTCAGGAAACCAGACAGAATCAGGAAAACTAGACTTGAAGGACCCCTGTTTCCAAGTTCACTATGATGCAGCTAATCCTCATGCAGAGGTGGGAAGCCTGGGATGTCCAAGAGAGGAAACAAAGAAGTTTGCTGTCCTCTGTTCTCCTGCCTCTGTCTGATGAACAGGCCTCTATTTAGCGTGAGCCTGGAAAAAAGAAACCGCTCGCTTTTTCTCTTGCCTTTTTTTTTTTCCAACTTTTGTATGACCAGAAGGAAATTTGCCTCTTTTTCCTGTCTACTCCTTCAAGTAGAGCAACAGTTTTCAAACTTTATTTTTTAAACCACAATCTATGATAATATATTTACATTTTTAAAACCACAACCTATGATAATATATTTTACATCATGACTCAGTATACATACACACACATAAACACATATTCAAAACACCTGTTTTCATAAATCAATTATCTTTACACACCTAAAGTTTTTGATGTGTTCTATTCCATTCCATTCTCTTTCACATCATTTTATTTTCAAAATTATGGTCTGACCATAGTAAATTTATTCCATAACTCTTTAATGAGTCAAGCATCTTAGTGCAAATGCGTGGCTTTTAACATGCAGAATTATTGCTAAAAATAAAATTAAAAAATGAGCAAATTCTTTCTCTACCTAAAAGCCTGAAGAAAGCATGTACACTAACTCTCTTGCCCTGAGACAATAAATCTCTTGGTTAGGCCTAGGGCTAACTGTTAGAGACATATTTTGAATGAAATACTTCTTTGCCTGCTTTGTGTCCCCCCTTTTTTCCATTCAGTACAGTGTGCCATCTTTCCATGGTATTAAGAGATCATCTTCAGCAACATTTTTAAGTGATTGAATAGCACCTCAGTGTGTTAATGCAATGCAAGCATTTATCCAAGCTCCCTTTTGGGGACATTTACTTTATTTCAAAAGTTTACATTCTAATGGGAGGAGACAGAATAACTAACAATACACACATAAGCAAACAAACAATAAAAATAATTTCAGATTGCAATGAAGTACCTTAAAAACGTGATGTGATAGAATATTTAAGGCTTGTTGATTAGATTGGATAATAGCATCAGCAAAGTGATTTTGAGATAGACCTGAAGGATAAAAGGCCCCACCATGTAAAGAGGTGAGGAGAGATGTACAGACAAAGGGGAAAACAAGGGTTCTTTAAGGGTAATGCATTAAAGGAACAGGAAGAAGGCTTTATGAGAAGTAGTTAGGGACCAACTCATGAAGAGAACCCTGTAGGCCAGTATTTAATTGTCAGTGCAAGTGGAAGCCCCTAGAAAACTCAGGTATATATATACACACAGTATGGAGAGAAAGTCAGGGAGAGAGAGAGAGAAAGAGAGAGGGGGAGAGAGGGGAAGAGAATGAAAATGAATATCTGAAGAGAGAACAGAGGCGATAGTCAGCAGATACACTGGGTATGGCTATGACTTCAGAGTTAAAACAATTTACATACACCAAGGAACATGGATTATTTTTGAATGTATTTAGTTTTCACATTTATTTCAGTTATGTTTGTGTATATGTTGTACATTTTTGCAAAATTATACCTTATTGTTATAAATAAAAACTTGTTAAAAATTATATTTTTAAATTGGATATTGTTGGTATGTAGGAAAGTTGTTTAATTTTTGTTTACTAATTTCATAAGCAGAAGAAGTTGCATAGTAGGTCTTTTGTTCTCTTTGATTGTCTTGAGTTTACCAGTGAGTGAGCAATCATATAATCTGCTAATAAAGATAATTTCGACTGCTTCCTTCCAGTATTACTAGACTCCGCTTCTCCCTTTTTGTGAGATTTCATTGGCTGGAACTTCCATGAAGTGTTAGTGATAACACGTGTTAGTGATAACACGTTTCAGATTTTAGTTAGCAAGCTTTTACTATTTCACTGTTCAGAATGACTTTGCGCATTGGTTTCAAGTGAATATTCAATTCCTCGTTTAATAAAATGTTTGTTTGTGTTGTTTCTGGTTATTGATGTTGTTTTTCTTAGTTATTCTCCTTCCTAATTCACAAAATCTGTATGGCTAATGAATTTAGCCTAATGCCTTTAGGGCATAAATTATAATTGTTTTATGATCATTTTAAACCTAGTTTTATTTAATAATTAGGGTTCTCCAGAGAAACAGAACCACTAAGATACATATGGATATACACGGAAAGATTTATTTTAAGAATTGGTTCATGTGGTTATGGAGATCAAGAAGGCCCACGAGAAAAAGGGACATCTGTAATATTTTGAAAAAAGAAAACACACACACACACACACAAACAACAAAAAACTAGTCTGAATTTTATTTTTTGTGCCATAATCATTAGGTTAACTTGGAAACTTGTAATCTTTGTGAGTTCCAGAATATTATAGCAATTATTACACAAAAGTTCAAAAGAGCTCACCTGATAGTCACCTGGACCTGCATATTTTTTGAAGGGCAATCCTGTTAGCCTATTCAATCTATGGAATCATAGTAAGTCATGTATTTCTTAACGTTGTGTTAGTGCATTATGAGCATTGCATTCTTAACTTTTCATTAGTGGCTTATTAGCTGCATGTCATTTAAATAGGGATTATCGTATTTAATTTTCTAAACTTATTTAAGTTATTGTCTCTGCTTCTATTTTGTAGGCAACCCAAAATGACTGGTATGTTAGCTGAAAGTCATAAAGATTTCCTTGGCATGTATTCTTTTGGTAATTTTGAATGCTGTTAAACTGTCCTTATTGCTTATAAGAGAACTGTAAAGATAATGATGGAATTACAAATAAAATATTTTATAAAACAAATTTCACTGTAGAGCAACAGAAATGAAACTGAGATGAATTCAACACATATTGTAAAATTTAAAAGTAGGAAAATTCTTGTTTCAAAATTTTGGAGAAAATACTCAGAACCATAAGGGCATACAGAATCCCTGTACCCAATATAAAGTGTATTCCTATTTCATTTATTACCAACTTCATATTAAGGGGAAAAAATCAAAACTACAGTAGTGTGAATGGAAAGTTATTAGGCGGGTGGTATTATTAATTCATTTCAAACATTTGTTAAATCCCTCTTCAGGAAAGTGTTACATTTGTATCAGGCTCTGACCTTAATTTTCTTGGTCCGCTCTGGAGGTCACTTGCAGCTTTAATGAAGAATTCATCAAATGAATGAATGGCTTCCTACCTCAAACACCTCAGCCTGAGGGCTTTTTCCAGCTGCAGAAACACATTAAGTCTGCTGAAGGAGGTCAGAGATGTGGGGGAGTTAACATCCACAAAAGCAACCTTCAAACATTTGTTGGTAAATAAATACTTCAGTTTCCTCTCCCCTTGGTGGGAAAATTTCCTCAGCAAACAGTAAGACTGAAACTCAGTTGATGTTGCAAAAGTCAGAATCTCCTTTTTCGTTTTCAAAGACTGAATAATATTCTATCATTGTTTTGCTTGCAGGACACGAAGAAACTCAGAGAACGTAGAATTTAGGTGGAGATGCAGAGGGTGGAGGCTCTGGAGGAGCTGCAACAACCCTCCTCACCATCCAGCAATTTTTACTGTGAGCTACAGAAAAACAGGTGTGAGAGATAGTGATCAGTAGAAACCATAAAATGCTCAAAAACAAGTGGCTTTGTTCTGAGAGCTGTATGCTTAACATTTTCCTTAAGGCTGTAACTCTCCTGGGGGCAAGCTTCCCAGATCCATAAGGATCTGTTTTCATTTCTGGCAGAAATGTTTCCCTTGTTTTCAAGGGGACATCTGTGATTCTGGGGAAGCTTGCTAACCAACTCCTTCAGAGTTCGTTTGTTGTTTGCTGGCCTTTTCCTGCATATCATTCTATAATATTCTAATATATATGTACCATAACATTTTTATCCACTCATCTGTCTGTGGATTCTTAAGTTGTTTCTATATCTTGGCTATCGTGAATAAAGCTGTGATGTCATATGATTTCAAAAAATATCAATATTTACTGTACTTGTTTTACATATTTTATTCTATTTTTTAAATCTTCATGGAATTGTAATGTACATACAGAAAAGTGCACATATTGTAAGTGTATAGAAAATGACTGTTCTCAAGCTGAACACTTTTGTAACCAGCACCAAGCCAAAGCAGGCAGAACATTACCAGCGCTCCTCAGTCCTCCTACCACAAACAGTCCTGCTCAGTCACTAGCTGCACTCACAGACCTAAACACTATTCTAGCTTGCATGAGTCTCTTAAACAAATGAGACGCATTCTATCATTTCGCCCCTACATGTATCCTCTTTTAATGTGTAAGTCTAACCTGAAGACAAAACCATTTTCTAAACTCTCCATACTTTACATACAAATACACATAAAACTTTACCAAAAATGTTGTTAGCAAATTCTTCCCTCAAATAAATATGAACTAAAACTTGGTTTTAGTGAATTAAACAGAGATGTATATAATAAAGGACTAAAAGGCATATTTTTTACTATATGGGTTTAAACTAAGTGGAAGAGTAGTATCCTATACTCAAAGATCATATAAAGAAACATACTGACTTTTTGAGAGTAACTACCCTTTCCTACCATTAACTGGCTCATTTTGCTAAAAAACACTGCAATTCCATTAATAATATCTCTATATTAAAGTATTACATTCTAACTTTAACCTAAGTTTGCAAGTCATTGTTTTATTTGGATTTATGTCATAACCTACATTGAAAGTTTTATTTTCAGATGACTAGATACATTTTAGAATAATAATTTACTTTTTTATAGTATACATCTTTTGATTAAAAAACTAGTTTGGAATTCACAAAGTGCTCAAAGTAATTTTAAGGGTGATGTTATGCAATGTATTTCTAGAACAGTCTTTGCCTACAAATACATAGCAATTCCATATTCATTAGATACTTCCTTATATGACGGACAAATGCCCAAAGGAACAAATATTGCAGTGTCTGAGTCAGTGTACTATCTATTAAGCTAAAATGTAGCCCTCTTCTTGTTAATGTGGAAATAAAGAGCCAATGGTGAACTTCATTAAGCTATTTATTTGCATTTCAGAATAATGCCTGGCTTTTATGTTCATTTTCCATCTTAAGTTAATATTTGTTAAAAATTAAATTGTAAATAGGAAATTAATAAAATATCTTGTTAATTATCGCTCTGATAAATTCTAGGCCCATAATAAAATTTCCATGTTTTTCCTCCTTTAATGATATGAGGCAAATATATCCTCTGACACTTCAAATAATAACATATTTGGTTAATAAAACATTCAAGTAAACATAAATATTGATTTCTCACCAATTGTTAAAAATAGTAAGTACAAAATAAAATTACATACAAGAACCTTAAAGTTGTTATGTCATTAAAAATAATTGATGGTGTTTATTATTTAGACTTTAATTTTCAAGCTACCTAAAGACTTTATTCTCATAAACACTGACTTCAAGCACCCAGAACTGAAAATTCTCTTGTCTACCTTGTTTATTCTGTAGACAGCATATACTTGTCATTTATTTTTCAAACTTATCAAGCATTTAAAATATATGCATTTTAAAAAAATATGCTTACTTAAAGGTGTTCAATCTATCTGTCAAAATCAATTTTTGAAGAAAATATTTAAATGTATTCATTTCCAAGGATGTTGCAAAAAGGGATAATATAGTAAAAGTGTCTAGCACTAATCTGCTAACTCTCAAGCAACAATTTCCAGTATGAGAATTATATACCAATGAAAAAACAAAAATGATTTTAAAATATTTTTCCCCCTCAGATAGCATTGCTGGTATGGCCAGTTTGAGACTGTTAAGAAATATGAATGTTGTGATTTGTTCCTGGTAATGGCAGTGTAGTTAACTTTGAGCAACACTTCCACTGAGAACACAATCAGGAAGTTCAAATATGAATTTCTCCATATCTATATTGTTATCTGCATCTATATATTTGTCTTTCAGACAACAGAGAACTGATAGTGCAGTGGGAATTCTGGGTCAAGATCTCGGAGAAGATGGAAATCCACTGTAGCATGCCCAGCATTTGTAGCTACTTTTCCCCAAGAAGAATTAGCATATTCTTGTAGAATTGTCTGAGAATCTGAAAAGCAAAGCAAAATTTTCAATGTATTCAAGGACTTAGAGAGAGAATTTGTGATATAGGACCCACCAAAAATAGAGCTTGGTAAAATTCCAAGTTTTGGTTGAAACCAGAAAGGAATGCAAATTAAGAGTAAGGATGAAATTAAAATAGGCCAGCCCTCGGTGGGTCTGAATTACAGCTTTGAATCAGCTCCAGCGTGTATTGGATTACAGAGATCTAGAATTGCTAATGCACAGCCTCATGCCAGAAGCAACTGTAAATCCTCTCTAGAGAAAGGTAATGTCATCTAAGCTTTCCAATAAGTCCTACAATTACTATAAACAATATTGATCACTCAATCCAAAATAACCAAATATATGAAAAATAAGACAAAGTGATTGCTATGAGCTGAATTGTGTCCCCCACAAATTTATATGTTGAAGTCTTAATCTTTAGTGCTTCAAAATGTAGCTGTGTTTGGAGATACGACCCGTAAAGAGGTAATTAAGGTATAATGAGGTCATATGGATGAGCCCTAATCCAATATGATTAATGTCCTTATGAGAAGAAGAGATCAGGACAGAGACCTATAGAGGGAAGATCCTATGAAGACACCAGTAAAAGATGGCCATCAACAAGCCAAGGAGAAATGCTTTAAAAGAAACCATAGATGCCAATACCTTGATCTTGGACTTCTAGCCTCCATGACTATGAAATGATAAATTTCTGTGCCTTAAGCCACCTAGTGTGTGATACTTTGTTATGGCAGACCTAACACACTAGTACAGTGATTAAAGTCCAAGAAAAGCAACATAAAATAGAAATATCTACAGGGAGTCCAGAAAGTAAAGGTATCAACCACTGACCTAAACAAATAAACAAACAGCAAGCTTATGCATAATATATGCAAGAAAATAAAGGATATAATTGATGCAGAAATAGAAACTATTATAATAAATGAAATGGAATTTCTACAACTAAAAAATTCAGAAGTGAAATTAAAAAGTCAAAGATGAATTTAATAGTATATTTGATAGCTTGTCTAACTGCAATGTTATACACCTGAAACTAATACAAACTAATATTGAATGTAAATTATAATTAAAAATTAAATTTAAAAAGCAATATGTTTGATGGAGATGAAGGAAGAATATTGAACTGGATGAAAAGTCAGAAGAAAATTAACAGAATTGAAGTGTGCAAATTTAAAAGGATGAAAAACAGGACAGCATGTGAGACAAGATTTTTTTTAAATTCTATGGAAATAATTTGGATTGCAAGGAGGAACAGAGAATTAAAGATTTAAAGGTATAATAGCTGACAATTTTGAAAACCAATAATATAAAGCCTCAGGTTAAGAAGCAAATGAAGAAAATGTACCTACACATAATAAGAAAAATGTGCTAAAAACAAGAACAGAAATGACAAAGAGAAATAACAAAAGGATCTAGGAAAAAAAGATGAATTACCTAAAAGAAGTCACAATAGGATTGAGGCCTGATTCCTCAAACAGAAAAACAAAATTGAAGCCATATGACAATGGAATAACATCTTCAAGGTATTAAAAGGAGTTAAAAACTTTATACCCAGAGAAAATATTCTTCCAAAATAAAATGAATAGGTCTTGACAATAAGAAAAAAAAGCGCTTACTGTTACAATAACAAAAATGCAAAATAAAACTGAACTAAAATGCCATTTTTCATGGATCAGAGTGGCAAACATTGAAGTTTGAAAATGTTGTGTTAGCAAAACTTAGGGTATAGGCTCTCATGTACTACAAAAGTCACTCAAGAACTATGGAGAGAAACTGGGTGATTTGGGAAAGTTGCATATGCATTTCCTCTTTTATCCAGCAATGTTTCTTCTAGGAATTTATCTAAAATACATACTGACAACATATATAAAAAGACATAAATACAACAAAATCTATAGCAGAGCTATTCGTAATAGCAGAAGAATAGAATACAACACACATATACCTACGTAGGGACTGATTAAACACATTATGGTATGATATATTTAGCTGAGGAGGTTTCCAAGCTAAGTGTTGAAGATGTAGCGTGGTTTATTCTTGCTGCTTATAGTAAAATTTGAGAAGAGAGAGATAAATTGAGGCAAGAGTCGTTAAATAAAAGAGATTCAGAACTGATGATTTGGGAAATTCTCAGTCCACCCAAAAGGCAAAAAATGCTAAAATTAAGAAATTCACTATCAGGAAAGTGCTCTAGAGAAAATTCTGAGAGTGTAACCCTAAAATCTTCCCCTGACATCTCATAAAAATCAAAAGATCAGAGTATGTGGTCTCACAAGATGACTCTTTGAGAGATTAGGAGTATGACTCAAAGTTCCTCTCAAGCTAGGTGGCCTCTAGGAAACATGAGGGCAATGCCTCTCAGCCGTATCAGCAGAAGCAAAAATTGAGAATGAACGGTTTAGGTAAGATCTCTTGGTGTGGGTGTAGAGGGACCCTTTCAAAATGTATACATATATCAAATCATCACATTGTACACTTTAAATATCTTACAATTTTGTCAATTATACCTTAGTAAAGCTTTAAAAATCACTTGATGAGCCTCTTGTCTAATGGAATGAATTCCTGTGACATACATAGGAGAGAGGATGTTATTGAAATGTTTATATCAGCAGAAACACAGCCAATACAATTATGGGGAAAAAACAACAACAAAA